GTGTAATTAAATCAAGTTCCACCAGCAATTTCCATTACCCAGATGTTGTATCTGACCATGCTTCACAAGCCTGGAAGCTTATGTGCTCTGACATACCTGACTCCCCTTAGCATGCTAGATTTTAGCTGGAGTTGTTCTTCTAAGGTATACAATGTGACTTTTAGGGTGACGTTTACAGAAATTGAGGACAGACTACTTCTGAGCAGATGTTTGTGTGTGTCAGTTAAACTATGACAGTGTGTATGGCATCGACCTTTACAATTTTTAATTTTATTCATTGAGTTAATTATTTGTTTAGACAGCTGTTCTTAAACTTACAAGTAAAGTTCCAGCACAGTTCTTAGATTTTCAGTATTATTAATAACATGAGAAAATCTTTTTCTGTTTTGGCATATGTTTTAGAAATCATTAACCAGTAATACTGCTGATAACAATAATATTCCAGTGATAGAAATAACATACATAAAGCAACAAAGTATTACAGCACAATTGTGAAATTTCAGCTAAGAAATGTGTAAATATTACTGCTTCTTGAGTTGATCTGCAAGCAGTTTTAGTTTTTTCAGTCTTACGTAGTGATGTTATTTTGGAGAAAGACTGATGTACTGCTGAATACCAGATCCCATTTGCTGTTTCAGAGGAATTTTGCTTGCAACAAGTATCCAATTAATAATGTTTATTTTTTGTACTTGGAACTGACCTCATTTTATACCATCAAGCTTTCTATATAAAACCAACTAAATGGCAAGAAACTCAACCACTTTTCTGGCCACCACAGTGGGTTACAGAGTGCCATTGCAGTGAAGTTTCCAAACCTTATTGTGACAAATCGATAGAAGTATTCAGCCACCTTATTCCCAAGACAAGTTCTTATGAAATTTTCTTTGCCAAGAGTAATGGTGCCTGCTACTGGATAGTGACTAGGCCATTCATTCAAATACTCAAGTACTGCAATACACCCAAGAATCCCTGGTAAGGAGAAAGAAAACCAAAACAGAGTGGAGAGTTCTCAAGGGATCTTGGGAAATTGTAACTTGTGTAGCATCATAGTTCAGGCAGACTGGCATCTTTCAATAAAAGCCTAACCTAAAGGCTGAAAAATGAGAGGCTGTGTTTGTTGCTCGCTTAAGGTGAATAGGGAATCAAGCTTTGTTGACAGTGAATCGACATATCAGGTACTGAACTATTGCTGTACCAATTCTGTGTCTAGAAAGGGAATTTAATGAAGTAAAGAAAAAGGGTGTAAAAGCTGGCTGTGAAATGGTGGACAGTGAAATGATAGTTGGATTCTGATCAGGTGATCCACTGTCCATGAAAAACAGCTGCTGAAAGATAGTAATCACAGATGTAATATTGCAGTTAAATTCTAAAAATTAGAGCCTGGTAGAATTTCTTTCCTACCACTGTTGGTTTTAAAAAACATTCAGTCAGAAAAACAGACCTTTTATTTTTGGTGCACTTTTATTAGGAATGAATATATTTATTATAAAATGTGGATTTTTTAAAATTTTGCTTGTGGATATATGTTTCTGGACACACACCTTCGGTTTCTATTTGTTGTATGAAGCAGCAGGCGTGGGAGAAGCAGATGATAATCATTGGCTCTCTAGGTGCTGGTTGAATACCACCCCTCTGGGACATGCCGTTCTAGGCTCTCCAGACTCCTGACACTTAAATACTTGTCGGAGCCATGGCTGTTACAAAGACATGGTAGGTACTATAGTCTTTGATCATCTTTGATCACAAAGGTGATGGAAAACTCCTTTGTGGGTTTCACTTGTGTCAAGAGGCATAAGAAGACTCCTGTTATAATGCTAGCCTGATATTGTAAGAAAATTTGAAGCAAAATTACAAACTATATCTGGATTAATTTCATATCCCTTGTGAGTTGCTTCTTCAAGAAATTAAATACGTGAATTCAGTAAAAATCACTATGTATGAAACATATTTACTCAGGAACAAGAATCTTTTCGATGTTTTGACTGTTGAATTGGGTGCGAAGTGCACATATAATTTCAGATTCCTTGGCTTCTGTCTTATTATACTGATGGAGGATCAAACCATCAGTTGCAGATGCTTGATACTAAGCAAAATGTTCTTTCTTTTTCTCTGTTTTTAGAAATGGGGAAATCGTTATGATAACCACAAACAGAACTGAATTATTAAACAAGTTGGTGAAGTACTCTTGACCTTTTCTTCCTTTCTGTTTACCTGCATTCCATAGTGATTCTTTTGGCCACTCATTTAATCACTCCTGTTGCTGTTAGACACCAGGGGCTGATGAGAAAGAGAAAAAAAAACGTCATGAAGAAATCAGTATTTAAAAACCAGCAGTGAGATATGAAGAATAAACAGTGTGAAACATACTCAGAGAAGTGTTTGCATTTCTGTGCTCAATCTGCTGAAACTTTCTCCTCCACACAACAGACTAATTGTGTTTAAGTACAAACAATTGAATAATACTAGTTTTCCGTTTTTTTTGTTCCAAAGTCCTGCTCAGAAATCTGGACTTGAAGACCGTAAGTCTTCCCACCCTTCTGCTTTCCTTTAGAACTTTGCTTCTTTGTATTAATGTGTGCAGTGTTGACTCACTGAATATAATTTAGATTCTTCTTTCATTTTCGGAACTTCTGGGAAAGTTTAAGGATGACTGGTGATGAGAAAATGATGAATTAATTGCTTATAGGTCTGACTACCAAAACTGGGGGATCTGGATATTGAACAATCTGAAAATTCCTTTTACTCCTCAAACTAGCATAGACAGAAGCATGAAACATTCAAGGCCAGGTTGGACGGGGCTCTGAGCAACCTGATCTAGTTGAAAATGTCCCTGCTCATTGCAGGGGGGTTGGACTATAGATGACCTTTAAAGGTCCCTTCCAACTCAAACCATTCTGTGATTTATGATAGAAGGAGATGTAAATCTGAATAAATGTCTTGCTCATTTCCCAAGAGCACGCATCTGGGAGTTCTTCCTTTCATTTTCGTCAGCTGAAGGGCAACTGTGAAGGTAGAGCATGAATGAAAACTGTGATCAGTTGAGCAGTGCTGCTGCTGAGCTAAAGATCTGGTATTCCCTGTTAGAAATACTGGTAGTCACTTTTACTCTCCTTAGAAATGTCACAGGCACATGCCATCCAAACTGTCTGCTGTGTTTACAGTGTAAGTGATTTTAAAAGCTTACTGCTCTGTTCATTTGCCATTGGACAGAATTCAGCTCTTTCCTTTTTATTTGACACTTCAAATGTTTTTATCTTGAACTTTCTCATGAATTTTTATTAGGAAAAAATCTTTTGGGAGAGAATTGAAAGACAAAACTAGGGACCCAAGTGGCCTGCAGACTGAAAGATTAGAGAGAAGTGGCAGAGCCTTTGGGAGCGATGGGAACTCTGTATCAGGGTGAGCCTCAAAAAATTATGAAAATTGGCAAAATTGTGAGAAGGGATTCTCTGCATGGTTCCCACTGCTCTCTGACTTTATCACATCTAAAGCTGACTATTGGAGACTTGAGTTTCCCTTGCTGCTGCTGTTGTCAAATTTGAAAAGTGACGCTAAAGCTAGTAGAGGTAGAGCAGTGTTTTGGTGGTGATAGACTCGTTAGGTGGGAGGCATTGCTACAGATGGCAGCAGGAGCAGCCTGTGGAGTTCTTCACTGATGAATGTCCAGAACGTGCCACCAAGCAAACTCGTTCAGCTTTGCAGTTTTATAAAATCACAGCAGGATGGAGCTCTCCTTAAGTAATAAAGTAGCAGCTATTAAAACAACAACGTGGATTCCAGAACTGACTGAGAAGCTTAGGTTTCTGGAGTTTCTGCATTAGAGCAGAGAAAGGTGTTATCTGTAGGATGTAGCTACCTTATTGGGATTACACGTTTAAATCAACCTATGATTTCTTTTGTAAAACTGTCATGACAACCTGAATGAATAATAGTGATCTGTATCTTTTTCAGTTTCACAATTCCCAACACAGTAAGAATTTTTTGTGGTTTGTTTTTTTGGGGTGTTTCTGTTGTTCTTTTTTGAAAAAGAGGTCTGGATGAAAGGGAGAGCTTTGAGAGACGGGGAGAGGCTGTTTTTGACCTTGGTAGTTACTGTGCTTAGGGAAGACAGTTACAGAGACTGTAGTAGGAAGCAAAAGGAAGAGGGTGGTGTCTGGGAAACAGCAGATCGTGCAGAGAGAGCACTGAGAGGATCAGAGAACAGAGGGGAGGGAAGGCAGAGGTGTGGCGGGAAGTTTTCTATGGGCCAGAGGCCTCTGTGAAGAGTTTGCTGTAGCTCATAAAGTGCTGAAATGCCTGAAGCTTGGCTAGTGCTCGATACTCCAGAAAATGCGGCAGGAAAGTGAAGACTTGTGTATAAAACTCTTCTTAGTTTTGTTCTTTCTGATATAGTAGCAAGAAGTTTTTTCAACGAGGGGGGAAAAAATAACAAACCACAACCCCCCCCCAGTAGCTGATATTCTAAGTTACACCTGAGTTTTGGTGTCCATTTTTAATTTGAACTTACAAGCTTTTGGTGTTTATTGAGAGTTCATTAGCTTCGGACAGTCGCAACAAATTCACCTATAAGCTCAGTTTGATTAAAAGCCTGGACTGAGAAGTGACTGAGTATAGGTGCGACTTGAGATGTGAGAAATTATGTGAGATATTTAACGTGTGGCATTTTACAGGTGTCCTGCAAGTATTTGAGGTAAGCCAGACCTAGTTGAGGGTTTACGATTTAAGCAGTTTTCTGTTAGGATAGTAGAGGCACTTGCTTAGGTTGGAAACTATTCTGCAGCAACACAAAATGAATACAGCCTGTCTACTGCTGCTATAAGAAGTGCAGTGACCTGACGGATCTAAATAATTTGATATGTTATCACTGATTGCTGGAAAACATATAATAAAAAACCTAGAATCTGGTAGTTCATGTTAGTTTTGCCTAAAAATGCAGGGAATGGAAATAACAACTGAATATTAATTTGAAAGTCTTGGTAATTGGTCTTTTTCTTTTTTAGGACATCTTTAAGATAGAAGGCAACCTTGGAATTCCAAGACAAAAAAGGGCTATTTTGGCAACTCCAATATTAATTCCTGAAAATCAAAGACCACCATTCCCCAGATCTGTTGGCAAGGTAGGTCAACAAAGAACTGGATCGAGTTTCAATATTAAGTAATTGATCTGTTTCTCTTATCATTTTGTAATGCCTATCATGTTGATAGTAATATCCCAGAAAAAAATAAGAAACATAACACTGAGCGGAGAGGATTGTTCTTCTCGCTACTGTGTGGACAGATGAAAATGGCTTTGTATTCATGGTAGACTTTAACAGCATACATCCTGGTAGAAAGCACTAATCAGATGTATGTTTTCATGCAGCTGCTGTCTTCAGTAGAGGTTTCTGCCTACCTATGTATCTGTGTGTTAGACTGGGGTGGAAATCTAGGCCAGCAACATTATGAAGAATATCCTACTGCATAGTGTGGATTATCTGGTTTCTATTCTCCAGACCTAGAAGGAATTCATAAAGCATTACCTGTAAAAATGTCTTTTGTTCATTCCTTAGTTAATTTCTAGTGTCCAAAGACAAAATAAGTCTTTGCAGGTGTTTTCAGTTTTATTTTTTGTTGTTTGCAAAGGTCTGACAAAGAAATGGAAATTTTTCTCCTGTCTACAGGCAACCAGGTTGACAAGAATTCTAACAGCCACTTTTCCAGAACTTCAGATATACGGCTTTCATATACAAAATCATTAAAACTAAAATACAAATAGTTGTTCAAATGGCCATCTAGGCATCAGAAGTTGTAATTACATTAATATATTTTCCACGTTGGCAGTCTTGAAACAGGGACTCCTATGCATCGCTCTGACTTTAGTAGGTGTGTTAATGACATGATGGCCTATACAGCTGTAAAGTCTGTTCCTGATTCCCACTGATATGATCGCTAGACCTAAATGCACAGCTCGAGGGTAGAATTTTACTCTACGATTGATGTGTCATTTAGCCAGCTGGCACCTAATCAGTTACTTATAATTAGGAAAGGTTGTTTTCCAATCAGTAAAAAGAAAGAATAATCTATGATGATTTAATTTTCTCCCCTTTCTCCATCAATAATTTATACTGGTCTCATAAATTTCCTTAAGCTTTTTTATCTTTCCAAAGTATTTTTTTAATATGTCCTGAACCCATTGTGAAACTTCTCCTGTCACGTTTCAGTGTTTGGGAGTTAATGACCAATAACTAAAGCAAATATTGTTGGTTAATACATTAGTAATAAATAGTTAATTTTTAAGACTTCTGTTGTGCAGTTTTAAAGCAGCAAGAATTAAAAAGGTTACTTATATACAGATCTATATTCTTGCTTTTCTGTGTTATTGATTTATTTCTTCCTGATCCCTGCCACCCCTACTGCTCGTGAACACTGAATTTTTAGATCTGAGGCAGTCTGAGTTGCTTTCTATAAGTGCTTTCATAAAGTATTTTTATTGGGAGTTTAGGATGCTAGTCCTGGTAACTGAGGTTGCTTAAGCAGAGTGAGATGAATTGGGTCCTATCTGTACTTAAATGTTGTCCTGGCATCTTGTCATCTTGATTTGTTATTGTTCCTGGAGTACTAGTCAGGGATCACAAGTGCATTACATGATCCACAAACACAAAAGTGTAAAAACATCTGGAAGGCTGTTTTTCCAAAGCCCTAAGATACTTATCTTCAACTAATATTTAAATAAGAACTGCAAATGATCAGCACCTTGAAATACTTTCAGCCGTCTTTGGTTTTAAGTCTTCAAATTCATTTTTTTTGCATACTTCTAATTTAGGTGTCTAGACATGAGGATTTTAACTATAGTCTATTGCAAGTAGTAACACAGCGTGTGTCTGGCAAGACAGAAATTTTAGATGTATTTAAAATCACAGAATAAAATATTCTAGGTCAACTGCACAAATTTGCAACTGAATGCTTAAGAGAGCATAAATAAAAGAGTTTGGAGCCTCAGACATACTGATGGTAGGGAAGAGTATATTGCTTGCTAATTGAAAAATTTAGTTGAAGTCAATGCTGAAAATAAAATCAATCATTTTAGGTCTTTTTGACGTGTCACAAATCTGCATAAGATAGGCAATGAAGTCTTCAGAAATAGAATAGTCTGTACTAATCTAGAGAGCCTTAGATACCCAATTCATGTACTTGTTTCAGATTCTGCATGAGCTGTAGATAAGGTTGATCATCTGTCTAACTTTAGATGTTTATTGTCGACTATATGTAGCTTCATGAATATACAAAACTTCATTTAGTTGCACGCTTCTGCGAGGCATGAGAAACAAATTTATTTCCTCTTCCGCATTATTTTGGGGCTTATCTTCAGAAGCCTCAACAAGGCACTACATGCACTGATGAATTACAGCTTCTGATGTGTATGAATTTCTGTTAAACTTTGCCATCTCTGGTCTGTTGTAATCACTGTGAAGGGACATTGCAGATGTATTATGTAGCTGTGATTTCTATAGTCTTTGGGGAAAGAGAGAAAACATACAGAGAATGGGTAATTTGCATGTTATAGTAGAATTTAAAAAATAGAAGGAAGAAGAAAAGAAAGTAGATGCTGGATCAAACTTTCATCACATAATTGCCAGCAGTCAGGGCTGAGGACTTGTGTAGGTCTGTTGTGATGGGAGCAGCAGAGTTTGTCTCGGGCTGCAGAGGCTCACAAGGAGTCACCCTGTCTGCCCAGCACTGTGAGCAATGTCCTGAGCTCCTCTGTAACAACCTCTCCCTGTTCTATGTCTCTATGAGGTTGCACAGTGGGGCAGTTTATATTTTATTCAGATGTAGCAATAAAATAATTTAAGAAAAGGAATTCCAGTACAATAATGTGTGTGTGTATGTGAATAGCTGCATATTTTCCTGTCTGAAAAATAATTCCAGCTTTTGTTTTGCTTTCATCTTTGTTACTGCAGTGTTACATTTTCTGCTCATCAGGAATGTAAAGCTTTCCTGACTGAATTAACTGTCAGACAGTGATAATTTCAGATATGACTAGTTCTGTTTGATACTGCCATGCGGTACAGTTTGAATGTCCAGTTGCATCCTCTGTGTGTTTTTTTTCCCTTTCTTTCATCGGCTTTAGCAAATTACCAGTGTGGTTTATTCATCTGTCCTGATTGCCTCTTGCTTTCCAGCCTGTGCTATCTTGCCTGGAAATGCACAAGGTTGTTTGGAAGCAATTGCAGCAGCCACCAGCAATTGAGCTGCTTATTAGCACTTCGTTGGGAGTGGGGCAGAAGTGCAAAAATAGGAGAGCAAGGAGAGAACAATTAATTACCTTTTATTTCACAATTTGGAAACAATAGCATGAAGAATAAAACACAGGGAATTTAGAGGACTTTATTCATTAAGGTTTATTAATACAAATCAGGAAGGAGATATTGCACTGGACAAGTGAAAAAAATTGGTTGGTTTTAATTAATTACAAAAATTCAAGTAGTATTTAGCTTAATAAGGAAATTCATGTGTAGAGGATTTTCTCTGTGGTGTTACTGACTTTCCAGCATACCCACTTAGGAATGAGATTATTGCCTTGCCATTTGCATACCCTTCATTAAGGTATCCCTTAATTAAATAACTATCATAGGCATGCTGTTTTTCTAGGTAGAAGAATCTCACCTTTTAGCAGAACTTAAGCTTTTGCATATTATCCTTCATTCCTGAGGGAAAACAGTAAGATTAAAATATTTTCATACAGTCTTGGTAATATGGGCCTTTGTGACCAGATGGCCCAGGCTACAACTGTTGACTGTTATTAATGTGTTTTGCTTAGCTCTTGCTGATATAGCACAGGGATATGATATTCAATTTTTAGTCTCTCTCCATATGTTACTTTTCCAGTTTATTTGTCCACATCAAGTCAAATGAATTACAAAACAGTGGGATGCAGGATTAGCTTGTAATTATTGTGATAGGTTATTCGTCACCACGGTATGGAAAAGTTTCCTCAGACTAACTTAAGAGTGGTGGTTCTATGCATCTATTTGATGACGATCCAGACACACTTTAACTTCAGTAATGAACTGCACGATCATAATTTCTGAAGTTTAATCCTTATACTAATGCAGAACCCAAAGTGCAGGAAGGTAGTTGTGGAGATGGTCAACAAGTTCCAGTAAATATTGGCATGACTTTGTATGCTCAATGAAGGCCAGAAGACAGAGAGGGGTACACAGGAGACTTTGTGGGAACGTAGTACTGAAAGACGAAAAAGCAAAACCTTACTTTTTGCCAGTGAAAGAATTTTTTTCTTTGTTACTTGGCTGTTTTGTCCTTTTGGAAGGATGGAGTGTTTGTTCAGATATTTTGCATCAGTGTATATATCAGTGTATATATACTTCCTGCCTTTGATCTGGGCTGATGGACAGTTAGCTGCCAAATGACAATTAGTTGGCAGGACTGACCTAAACAAAAGCTCAAGAGAAAAAGTAGTGCAGGCTAGCAAACAGTATAGAAATCTTTTAAGATCTATGAGGAGGTGTTTCTTACCTCCTCTGAGCTGTGAATTTAAGGTAAAGAGAAAACACAGCTTGTCTGTAAATGCAGCGATAGGAAAAAAAAAGCACTGAAGAGGGGAGGAAACTGAAGATAACTGCATGGAAAAGCTGCTGGAAGCTTATTATTTTTGAGTGGCTATCTGACTGAGGCTATTTATGTATGATAAATTATATGCTTCACAGTAGAGAAGCATTAAGTACTAAAGATGCGCTGGAAAAATTCCAAACTTCAGGCAAAAGTTTGAAAAAAAGGTGATAGAAGTGTCAGGAGAGACGATCATGATCCACCAAGCTTTGAAGACAACCTAGAGAGGATGATTGTAGATTACAGGAGGATATGTGAAAGAAAACAGAAGAACAAGAACAACAGTTAAAATAAAAGCCGAATTAAGAAGTGCATTTGTTCTACTGGAAAATCAGGCAGAAAATGAGGGGATGGGGAGAGAAGGTCTAAAGAGAAGAGGAGGAGGGAAAGGACCTGGCTAGGAAGAGTGTGCAAGTCTGGAAGATAACAGTGTGTGGACAGAAATGATGTGCAGAGCAGAGGAGTTGTACCTAAAAGCCTTTCCAACACCGAGAGAGATCTGTGTGAC